ATTTCCACAGTAAACTCTTCTCTGGTGAGCCTTTGGTTCATCAGCTATATAGTTTAATAGACAGTTAACCCAGATTTAATTCACTTTGTTAATTTAAAAAGAATTAGAACACAATAGAGTTTAATAAACTTGCCAAACCCCATTGAACATCATTTGCTCTTTTCTGTACAGTACAAAAGGGACCCCAGCACCTTGTCATGCCTCATGGTCATCACTAATACAATAATTGTTACCACATTGCAGAAGTGTGACCACGCCAGCTCATAACATGCCACACACATTGATATCCATGTGCTGAATATCCAGCAAGCTCAATCTTTGATTCTAATCAGAAAAGCCGCTTCCTATTCATATCTAATTATCTTAATTGCCACTGCTTCCCATTATGCCACATAAGTAGATAAGAATACATTAGCTAAAAATTGTCAACTCTACTATGTAACACAGATCAGGCATTTTATCACATTGTTCATGAAAGTGTGGGAAATGTATTTGCTAGTTTTTGTGTTAGGAATCCAAAGACATTTCAGGGAAGGAGTGCCAAATTTCAACAACCTGTGCTGTGGAGTGTTTGTGTCTTCTTCCTGTGCAAATATTCCATCCTTAACTGGGCAACTTTTAGGCTTAGGATGCTGCTGTCTTTGACTGTCAAGTGATGGCTTTGGGTCTGACTCCAGTGGGCGCTCCCCTTTCTGGCCTTTATCTATTGAAGAGGGAAGTTACTTTTTTGTGTGAGCTCCGTCAAGAACCAGCAGTTGAGTTTAATAGATCAGCTGCCTCATTTGGGCAGCGGCAGAATTCAGACATGTCTGTAGCCATCTCACGTCAACCCCAAAGTTAATAGGTTCATTACAAACAAGTCTCTTGGTATTAGTCAAAATAATTCAGTTTCCTTTCTGGATAAAAGAAATTTTAGTTAATTTACTTTCTTTCCTTTTTTTTTTTTTTACCTTTACTTTCCCTCCTATCATCCCATCAAAACTTCGGTCCCTTCTTAACCTTAATTCAAACATCACTTCAGAAGTTAACACATTCGAGTTCCAAAAGCAATGCTTTTAACTTCTGTCCTGTGGTCAATAAGGGGGCTAAGTCGATGTATAAACAGTGTCAGATGGTGTCTCACACATGGCACTTAAGAAACCTTACCCCTGATAGTGCCTTGACCTCGGGCCCTCCGACCAGGCCATCTCGGTGACACTGTACAGGGAGCCATCAAAGAAAGGACTTGTGCGGTCCCGGGACCCTGACAGCCCGGCCTTGGGGAGAAGGTGCTGACGACGGGCCCAGCTTGGGCCTGACGTGGCCACTGAGCAGTTTTACTTCAGCTCGTGACCTGACTGGGGAGAGGCAGGCTCATTTTTCTTCTGCGGGTCCATTTCTCATCTCACCTGCTTCTCAGCTGATGGAGAAACTTTGCAATTGGACCCTGATGGATTCAGGGGTGCCTTTCAAGGAAGCCCAAGGAAGGCAGGCTCAGAACTTGGGAGGCTCTGAGTAATCTCCAGGGATAGCAAGGTGACCATCTACTGAGCAGAGCAGCATTTTGATGTAGTAAAAGTCCTACAAACAGTGTCTACGGCAGACACGGCTTGTTTCCTGGAGGCCCCTGGCAGGTGGTTTTGGGGCACACTGAGAGCTTCTGGTGTCTCTGTCTCAGGGTGTCCTGTGACCTTCAGGGTGTGCATTGCCTGTTTACAGGGCAAAGACCCTCAGGAGGGGGGTTAGTGAATCAGCACCCAGCTTTTTGCCCCTCAGTGCATAATTCTAGGGTGCATTCTATACAGCCCTTTGAGGGGGGCCCTGGGTTTGTACTCCCAGTTTCCCACAGCAACCCACTCACAGACACACTGTGTATTGGCTTTCTTTACCTTCCTTGTGTCCCTGCTCCCCTCTCTCACTTGTACTTCCTGAGACACTTCCCAAGTAACCTGCCTGCACCCAAGGCTTTTCCTCAGGGCCTGCTCGTGGGGAAACCCAAACTCTGCCAGAGTCTGATAAAAATTAAGTTGTCATAGCAAAAAGAATTTAAGGGACCCATTGAAAGCTCTATCTCCACCAAGCTGATACCCCCGTGTCTTGGTTCGGATTCCCCAGAAGCAAACGCTAAGATGAGGATTTCATCACAAGTAGTTTATTTGGGAGATGATTCCAGGAAATGCTTGCAGGGGAGTAGGGAAGTGAGACAGGGAAGGGATGGAAGAGATAAAGTGAGCGTTATCAAGCCAGTTACCAGTGTGGGCAGCTGGAGCCCAGTCCTGCGGAGGCACTTTGCCTCTGGAACACTGCAGCATGTGCCTCCGAGTCAGCCCACTGCGGGGGTGAGAAAGCTGCCGAACTGACTCACCACTCCACCACCTCTTCATCCACCAATGATCGCGGGCTGCTTCAGGGATGCTCACTCTCCAGCACATCTGAGATGACCTGCACTCGGGCTGACCATGATCTTGTGGCCAGAAAAGAAGCCCTCGGGAGGAAAGCCTCAGTTTGCCGTATAGAGGTAGATGCTGAGGGAATTTGGGAAGGGCACCAAAGGCCCTGCTACACACACAGCGACTCTAAACACCTACGGATATGTCTCTGAAAGAAGAGAAAATGCAAAGGAGATACTCATTTTCTTATCTAACAAATGTTTGTGAAGTCCTCTTTATGCAGAGGAAGGTGGCCTCGCTGGGGTGTGAACACTTCTTTCCTGTTAGGAGCTCCATGGTAGCCAGCATGGAGGGGCAACTGTTTTTTATTATTTTTTTAATTTTTTTTTGATGTGGACCATTTTTAAAGTCTTTATTGAATTTGTTACAATATTGCTTTTGCTTTATGTTTTGGTGTTTTGGCCGCAAGGCATGTGGGATCCTAGCTCCCCGACCAGGGATCGAACCCGAACCCCCTGCACTGGAAGGCAAAGTCTTAACCCCTGGACTGCCAGGGAGGTCCCAGGAGGGGCAACTTTTAATCCTGATGTGACTTCTTGAGTTCACGGGTTGTCATACACACCGTTGACCTGAGAGTTAGGAAACGTGTGTCCTTGTCCCTGCTCTGCCCTTGACAAGCCATGTGACCTTGGAGGAGTTGTCTTGCCTCCCAGGACCTCAGTTTCTTCTAGTGCTAAATGAAGGAGCTGGCGTTAAATGTTCTGGGGGCCCTTCCTGCCTGAACTGCAGTAGCCAAGGATCCATGTGCAGAAGTGGGTGTGGTCACAGGGCTGTGCTGTGTGGGTCATTTGCTGTGAGCAGCCTCTGGTCTGGAGGCATTTCAGGTCAAGGGAAGTCTGACCCAGGAGAAATGTTGGAGCTAGAAACTTATTTTTATAATTAATAGCAGTGACACTTAAGGAAGCACCATGCCTTGTGCAAGCTCACCCAGCTAATTAGGGGGCAGAATTGGAGCCAGAACCTACTTTCCTATTCCTCAATTGATGGATCTTTCTATTAATCCATGAACCATACTTTTTGTGTCAAGCTATAAGGAATAAGCCTTCCTAGATGGTGGATTAATGGCTAAAGAAACACACTTGATCATGGAATTGAAAGACATCCTCATTTAAGGGCTTCACCCAAACCTCAGAGGCTATAAGCTCCTTAGAAAAACTCTCCTGCTGAATTGGTTCTATGTGCTACCCATAGAATTCCGAATCCCACCTGTAGGGATTGCTATCAAGTGGACAGGTAGACCAAACAAGTGGATTAAAAAGATCCAACCTTACCATGAGTGCTTGGGTCAGTAGATACCACCTGTGTTATTTAGCCTTAGTTGATCTATATTCAAGGTGGCAGGTTGGTAATAGTGATAAGCAAGGAAAGGGAACAGAATTGTGGAAAGAGGTGGGGGAATCCAGACTCTTTAGAATGTGAAACGAATTTAGATGTGAATTGAGAATGTAAAGATGTACCAGCACTGTTTCCTGTGTGAACACATATGCGTTCATTCATTGAACAACCATCTAGGTGGTGACACCTTTGGCATCCCATAGGACTGAGTTTAGGTTGGTGATCACAGGGTGAATTACAGGTATTATGCAAATCACTGCCTATTTTCTGGCCTGATCTTCATGTATTACATCCTGTCCCATCCTAGTAAAATGTTAAGCCTTGGAAAATCCAGCACAGTAAAAGTCCACTCTAGACTCTTGTGTGGTTCATGGACCACCTTCAGCAGCATTACTTTGCGAGCTTGTTAGAAACACAAAATATCGGTCCTGACCCCAGACCTACTGCATCAGAATATCTGCATTTTAACAAGATCCCCAGGAGATACGTTAAAACTTGAGAAGCACTGTTGCAGACGTGAAGTGCTGTTCAAAACAAGTGGGTACTTCCTTCAGTGGAACCACTGAAAAAACTCTCAGCCAAAAATAGACCGCTTAAGGAGACCTTGCAAACAAGTGGAAAAACTGAATGTAATTCAAATAATCGATACAATGGCTTCATGTTTAGTGCTGTTGTGAGCTAATATTGAAACAATACTAAATCAAACACAGAGCTTTTGAGAAAAACCTGCTTTAGTTTTTTTTTTTTTTTTTTTCAGGTGTAAAGATACGGGAAGATGTTATTTATAGTTATCCCTTAGTTCATTCCACAAAGGATAGATAGACATGCTGCTATGAAGCATAACAGTTATTAATGCAGAGAAAAACTCAGTACTGGTCAAGCGCTGCTGTGATGAAAGGTTTTTATTCCATACATGAAATAGAAGGTCTCAGAACCATCAAATTCCCACCTCATCTTTGAACCCACAGAGGTAACTGTCAATCTCAGTTCCAAAACATCCCTCAGCCTTTTTTTGTTGTTGTTTTATTTTTTAAAATACATCTTTTTTTTTCAGGTTTTAAAACTTTTTATTTGCATATTAAAAAAATTGTGCATTCCAATAATTAAAATCATTTGAACAACAACAACAACAAAAAAAATGGCACTCTGATTAAACTGCATTTTACAACCCGCAGGACACCTTGGACCAGCTTGCTCTTTACTGTAGATTTCATTGTCGTCCCATCCAGCCTCCTTCACCAACATGCAAGTTCTTTTCCTTCCCTGCCAGTGAGACAGGCGGATGGGAGGCAGGCGCGGCCTTCGTTGTCAGTAGTTCTCCATTCTTTGATGTGAAAAAGGGCAGCACAGTCATTTAAACTTGATCCAACCTCTTTGCATCTTACAAAGTTAAACAGCTAAAAGAAGTAAAATAAGAAGGCAATGCTCATGGAATGTACAGTGCATATTGGCGGCGCACGCCTCATTACGACTCGCCTGCTTGCTTCTCCTGTTCAATCGTTTCTTGTGAAGGCAGTGGATTTTTCTCTTTCGTTTCTGTTTTCTTCAGTTTCGACTTATCGAATTTCTCAATCTCAGCCATATCGGGTTTGTCAGACATGGCTGCAGAGGAAGCGGAGCGAGTTACGAGCGAACGAGGTCCGACCTGCGCAGTGGTCGCCGCCGAGTGCCTCAAATACATCTTTATTGGAGTATAATTGCTTCACAAAGCTGTGTTAGTTTCTGTTGTACAACAAAGTGAATCAGCCATATGCATGCATATATCCCCATATTCCCTCCCTCTTGAGCCTCCCTCCCACCCTCCCTATCCCACCCCTCTAGGTCATGGCAAAGCACAGAGCTGATCTCCCTGTGCTATGCGACTGCTTCCCACTAGCTATCTATTTTACATTTGGTAGTGTATATATGTCCATGCTACTCTCACTTCGCCTTTTTTAGTAGGGAATCTGAGATGTTTGTAAAGAATGGAGGTTAGGTCTGGCTTTTTGCTTTCTTTTTCAAAGACTCTGAAAGGAATCATTTACAAAACAAATTTCGACTAAATACACTTTGTTGGGAGAAGTGGTGATATTTCTAAAGAGAACAAACTTTTAAAAGCAACTTGAAAGATTTGAGAAGCATCCTTTCATTGGTAGGTTTCAACAGATTGATTACAAACTATTTTATAACCACGTGAAAGCAAGCAATTGCCTGTTGACTGCTAGGCTTGGACATGGCACATGGTCACTTCTGCTGTGCTTCACTTGCGAGAGCAAGTTCTGTGGCCAATCCTATGTTCAAGGGATGGAAAACAGACTCTAACACTTGATGGAAGAAACTACTAAATCACATTGCATGGGAGGGAAATAATTGGGAGAAATTTCACAATCCATTTACCACATCAGGATAGACTGATTGCTGTAGCAAACAACCCCCAAATCTCAGGATTTTAATACAGTAGAGGTTTATTCCTTGCCTTTATTACCATCCAGTAAGGGTGGGCAGGGGAGTGGGGGAGGAGCTCTGTTCCACACAGTCACTCAGGAACCCAGGCTCCTTCTGTCTAGTTGCTGTGTCATTCAAGGCGACGGAGCCTTCCACCAAGAGTTCTATTTCCAACCAGTAGATGAGGGAAGAGGGCAAATACGTAGAAGGAACATCTTCTACTCATCTCAACCTGGAGGTGTCATATATATCACTTCTTTCCCCTTTCTCATGGCCAGAACTGGGTCTCGTGGCTGAATAGAACCACAAGGGAGGCTGGGAAATGTGGTCCAGCTGTGTTACGAGCAAAAGGGAAGATGGTCTGTTGAACACCTGGCCAGACTCTGCTACAGCTACAGACTCTGTGACTGAAGAACATGTTCCAGAAGAGGCACCAGGACACATTTCAAAATGTTGACATGTGACCCTGTGTGGTGGACAAAGTTTAGAAAGACAAGGTCATAATTAGGAAGGGAAGACAGACCCAGGTCCCTGTGTAAATACCTGGGAGATCAGGGCAGGAGTCTGGGGAAGGGTTTGGAGAGACTTTGTACCAGGTGGGAGCTTTGGGGCAGTGGAACTTTAATAGGAGGAGACAGAAGTGAAGGGCATAAGAAGAGCGTTGAGCCACATGGGGAGACTAGGTTTGTGTGCTTGTTTGACATTGTTGCCTCTAGTGGGGCCTAAAGTCGATGCCTTAACGTGGGTCGCCTCTGTTAGTGCTGGTTAGAATAATGTACCCCTTAGGGCTACATTAAAAAGTTATGCTCGGCGCCTCATTTGCACCTTCAAAATATGCGCATACATGTGCAGGCCAGAAAAGGCTGCGCTCAGAACATGCATTCTTACGTGAACTGCAGGTAATTGCACAAGCAAACAGGAAGTTGCGTAGGTATGCAGGCAGCTGCCCGCTGGAGAGCTGTGTGTTGGCACGGGCAGGCATGTGTCTTGTTCGTTTGTGTATGATTTTAAAGGATTCTGCAGAGGGGAGGGAGACAAAGCAGGCCTCTGGGCATCTGCTTCTCCAGCTACAGCTGTCCTTTGTCCTTCTCAAGGTTTTCTTTCTGGGCAGGGCCAAGTTCAGGGCCTGTTTGTGGCTGTAGGAAAATGGTGCATTTTCAAGGTCTTTTTGGGAGCACTCATGCAGGGGGGTTTGGCCTGAAAGTTTGTGTCCCCCAGACATTAACGTGTTGGGACCTTCAAGCCCAGTGTGATGGTGTTAGAAGGTGGGGCCTTTGGGAGGTACTTAGGTCCTGAGGGTGGAGCCCTCATGAATGGAATCAGTGCTCTTATAAAAGAGGTCCCGGAGAGCTCCCAGGCCTCTCCCACGAAGTGAGGACACAAGAGGAGTCTGTGACCCGAAAGAAGGCCCTCACCTGACCATGCTGGCACCCTGATGTTGGATTTGCAGCCTCCAGATCTGTGAGCAGTAAATTTCTGTTGTTCATAAGTCGCCTTGTCTGTGCTGTTTTGTTACAGCAGCTGGACGGGCTAAGACACAGGGTTTGCAGGTGGCCGTTTGCACGTGCGTTAGTTCTGTGCTGGGAGTTTGTGGCTGTCTCTTTCGCTGACTGCTGAGCTGCTGAATAAACTCTTCCTTTGAAATTCTCTTTTCTGGGATCTCTGTGTCCTGGTTCTCCTCCTGATTCTGCTGGTCACTTTCCTTTATTTACTGTCCTCTTCCTTCTTTTGTCCCTCAGATGTTTCCTGTGAGTCTGTCCTTAAACATCTTCTAGCTTTCTGGACCAGCACCGTCCAGCAGAACTCTCTGCAATGGTGGAAATGTTGTGTATCTACGCTGTCCAGTACCATAGCTGCTCACCATTGAACACCTGACATGTGGCTAGTGGGCCAGAGGAACTGAATTTTAGATTTTATTTAATTTAAACTTAAATAGCCATAGGTGGCTGGTGGCTGCTGTATGGTAGCCATAAGCTCTAGAACATTCTTTATGGGAAATAATGTCTACTATAGTGTCAACACTATCCACCCATTATTACCTGTCTGAATCTCTTGCTATGCGCTTTCTGGGCCTATTTTTACGACATCTTGACCTGGTTGGTCTGTGGTCTCGTCAAATGCAGTGTGCCTAATGTTTAACTCTTTAACTCTATCCACAAAACACATTTTCTCCTGGCCTTCTTCCTATCACTTTACGCTTGTTCATTTTTTAGAACCAGTTATGATCATACCGTGTCATTCATATATCATCATTGAGGTGGATCCAGGTTTTGGAAAACCTAAACTTATACAAATCTAGGGGATACTCCATAAGAAAAAGAATACAACGGTGTGAATGCAAAATTAGATTCAGAGCATTGCAGGAGCCTGGGAAAGTGAGAGAGGTATCCCTGAAACTTAAGCCTTATTCCCTTTACTATAAACTGGCCCCAGTTTATCATTAGAATATTTTAGTTTCCGGGTTTGAATCTCAATTTGACCCTCTTCTTGCTGTACGAACTTGGCCACAGGGCTTAACTATGCTCAAATTCAGTGGGCTTACTGGGGATAACAATAATAATGCCTATTCAACTGGGTTGTTACAAAATTAAATAAGATAATATACGAAAAGACGAACATCTAGAAGGTATTCCCTGAAAATAATTGTATTCCCTTGTTCTCATTATATAGGGAATAGTACCAGCAATAATAATGGTAATAATAATAGCAGTTAATGTATCAGATGCTAGGTTCGAGCCTTACATAGAATATCTCACTTATTCCTACAAGGTACGTATTCTCCTGTCCCCATTTTACAGATATTCTCCTGTCCCCATTTTACTGAGGCCCAAAGAAGGTAAGCAATGTGTGCAGGTTCTCAGATGCTAGTTAGGAGGGGAGCTGGGATTTGAACCCAGGCAGCTGGACCTTGTGCTCTTTGTCTCAGTCCTTGAGCAGGGCCTGTGGTATTCTTCACAACTTCCTTTGCATCAACATGCTGAGTTTCCTCCACATGTGTCTATGTTCTTGCTGGCCAGCCCACTAAACATTCCATGACTTGTGTGCATGCTTCTGTTTCTTTCCTCATGCTGTTTCTTTTCCCTGGAATGCCCTTCCCTCCTCCTCAATTTCCTGTGTGTTTCCATGTGCTGTATTCATGTCTTAATGTAATACCCTTTATTGCTCTCACTGTAAAGGAGTTGCTGAAAGGGTTTTATTTCCCTCCCCATCTAACACAATGTCCTTTGTAGAAGCTTCATGGTTGCTTATCTCATGAGCGACTGGGGTGTTGTTACCTCACAGGGGAGCTTTGAAAAATACAGAAGCCTGGGTCCCCCACCCCCAGGCCACATACATCAGAATGTTTGGGCTTGGGTTCAGATTCACTGACCTAAAGGATTATGTTTTTCCCTCTTTGAGCTGGTGACTAAAAAGCCAGGAACCAAGTGCTAGCTCAGCTCTGCAATGAGGCAAAACCTCGGGCTTCATTTCATCTCTTCCCCTGATTTTCCCTTCACCCTTTATTTTGAATCGTAAGTCACCTTGCTTTTTGGCATGCATTTTTGTAGGTCACCTAACTTAATTTTGCAATCACTAGAGGTACAAATATAAATGGTGATGATGCTATTGATAACAGATTTACCCTGGAATGATCAGAATATTTCTTGACAGCAGCCTATTGGCAGACAGAAACAGATGGGTAGAAAACACAAGATAAAATAAAATTGAAGTTTTGAAGAAAACAATTATCTTTAAATCCAGGGATGCCAATCACCCTAGAACGAAACGAATCCATAGCCATGGTCGTCTAAATGCACCTCTCATGTGGCCATTGGTCTGGTGGCTTCTTCTTACTTGGACCCTTCTTTGATTCTACCTTTATTGAGGAGATGAAAAAATCTGCCTGTTAAGAAAGGTATATTAAGTGAAATCTTGTAAAATAAATTCCCTTGCTTATTTGAAACTACCGACATATATAACTATGCAGTGTCTAACTCCAGCCCTCAATTCTCCTTATTTTGGGGACTTCCTGCTCAGGTGTACTGATGTATCCGGTAATGACCTCTGAGTGCACTGAGCATGGACACCGGGTACAGCTGCAGGATTTTCAGTTTCCCATCTGCTGGCCTCCGCCCTGACTCATCTGAAAGCCGGAGTAGGGGCTGTGGCTGTGAAATGGCTTTTTGTCATCACGTTTTAGGTGCTTTGAAGGCCCCAAATGGCAAAATGGAGAGGAGTGGCCAGGGAAGAGGGCCTGGCGAGGTTCTCTTGGTCTCC